TTGCATTATTTACATAAAATAGGAAACGAGAAACATACATAAAAAGGAAACGAGATAGACACATGGTTCCTTTTGTGGATATGCATATAATCACTTTCTGAGTCGCTTTATGCATGTCCGTCCGTATGTCTGTCCATGTTAAATTGTAAACAAAGTACAGGTCGCATTTATGATCCGAATTGGATAAAAATTGGCATAGATCATTTATTTGGCCCAAAGACGATATAGATCCCATATATATTTTCGTCTGATTTAATGTAAACGGTCCCTATATATCTTTCGATTTGCACGAAATTTGGTACAGCCTAATGATTTAGGTCTAGAATGATGTGTATTAAGTTTCCTGAAAATCGGTTCAGATTTAGATATAGCTCCTATATATATTTTCCTCCGATTTAATGTAAATGATGTACCTAAGTCCCTATATATCTTTCGATTTGCACGAAATCTGGAATAGTGTACTAAATTAGGTCTAGAATGATGTGTGTTAAGTTTTCTGAAAATCGGTCCAGATTTATAATGTAAATGGTGCTCCAAAGTCCACATATATCTTTCGATTTGCACGAAATTTGCAAGATATTGCTTCTACATATATATTTTCGTCCGATTTTACACAAAATTTACACAATATGTTGCACAACATACTGACCTAGAAGCTAGATATAAGTTGTGCACCAAATTCCCCTGGTGTGTCCGATTGGCACAACATTTTGCACAACGTACTGAAAATACTATAACATAACGTGTGGCAAGTTTTGTTGAGAACGGTTCAAATTTAGATGTAGCTCCTAAATATAGTTTCGTCCGATTTTAAGTAAAAGGTGCACAAAAAACCCAAAGTTAGGACGTTTGCTACAAAATTTTGCAAAACGTACTGAAAGTAGTATTGCCTAACGTTTGCCAAGTTTTGTAGGAATAGGTTCCGATTTAGGTATATCTCCCAAATATAGTTTTGTCCGATTTTAAGTAAATGGTACACTAAAGACCCAACGATAGGCCGATTGACACAAAATGAACCGAATGAACAAAATGAACACAATGTACTAAACTACCACGTGAAAGTTTTTATACCCTTCACCACTCTGTGGTACAGGGTATTATGTCTTTGTGCATATGTTTGTAACAGGCAAAAGGAAACGAGATAGACACATGGTTCCTTTTGAGAATATGCATAGAATCACTTTCTGAGTCGATTTATGCATGTCCGTCCGTCCGTCTGTCCGTCTGTCCGTCCGTCTGTAGATGTAAATTGTAAACAAAGTACAGGTCGCATTTATGATCCGATTTGAATGAAATTTGGCACAGGCCACTTATTTGGCCCAAGGACGAACCCTATTGAAATTGGGAAAAATCGGTTCAGATTTAGATATAGCTCCCATATATATATTTAACCGATTTAATGTAAACGGTCCCTATATATCTTTCGATTTGCACGAAATTTGGTACAGCCTAATCATTTAGGTCTAGAATGATGTGTGCCAAGTTTCGTGAAAATCGGTCCAGATTTAGATATAGCTCCCATATATAGTTTCGTCCGATTTCATGTAAATGGTACACCAAAGTCGCTATATATCTTTCGATTTGCACGAAATTTGGCATAACGTACTGAATTGAGCCTAGAAAGATGTCTGCCAAGTTTCGAGAAAATCGGTCCAGATTTGGACATAGCTCCCATATATAGTTTCGTCCGATTTCATGTAAATGATGCACCAAAGTCGTTATATATCTTTCGATTTGCACGAAATTTGGCATAACGTACTGAATTGAGCCTAGAATGATGTCTGCCAAGTTTCGAGAAAATCGGTCCAGATTTAGATATAGCTCCCATATATAGTTTCGTCCAATTTCATGTACATGGTGCACCAAAGTCGCTATATATCTTTCGATTTGCACGAAATTTTGCATAACGTACTGAATTGAGTCTAGAATGATGTCTGCCAAGTTTCGTGAAAATCGGTCAAGATTTAGATATAGCTCCCATATATAGTTTCGTCCGATTTCATGTAAATGGTGCACCAAAGTCCCTATATATCTTTCGATTTGCACGAAATTTGGCATAACGTATTGAATTGAGCCTAGAGTGATGTCTGCCATGTTTCGAGAAAATCGGTCCAGATTTAGATATAGCTCCCATATATAGTTTCGTCCGATTTCATGTAAATGGTGCACAAAAGTCCCTATATATCTTTCGATTTGCACGAAATTTGGCATAACGTACTGAATTGAGCCTAGAAAGATGTCTGCCAAATTTCGTGCAAATCGGTCCAGATTTCTATATAGCTCCCATATATAGTTTCGTCCGATTTCATGTAAATGATGCACCAAAGTCGCAATATATCTTTCGATTTGCACGAAATTTGGCATAACGTACTCAATTGAGCCTAGAGTGATGTCTGCCTTTTTTCGTGAAAATCGGTCCAGATTTAGATATAGCTCCCATATATAGTTTCGTCCGATTTCATGTAAATGGTGCACCAAAGTCGCTAAATATCTTTCTATTTGCAAGAAATTTGGCATAACGTACTGAATTGAGTCTAGAATGAATGTCTGCCAAGTTTCGAGAAAACCGGTCCAGATTTCTATATAGCTCCCATATATAGTTTCGTCCGATTTCATGTATATGGTTCACCCAAGTCTCTATATATCTTTCGATTTGCACGAATAGTCCTGTAATAGTCCTGTTTAATATACCCATAGTGGTGAAGGGTATCATATAGTCGGCCCCGTCCGACTTTACTACTTTCCTTACTGGTTTTTTTTTGAAATCGGTTCAAATTTGGATAGATCTACCATATATATTTTCTCCGGCTTTTAAGTAGAATTTTGCACCAAGAACTCAAAACGTCGCTTTAGATTTCGATATAGCTTTTATATATACATAATTTTCGTCTGATTTTAAGTAAATGGTGCACCAAACTCCTCATGACCGATTGATATTTGCTTAAAATTGATTTACATAATTTTGCCCCATTCTATGAAGCAACTCTATATCTGACCAAATGAAACATTTAGTATAGGTTGTAGAATGACATGTGTATAGATCCAATTTCATTTTACTGGTCATTCAAAAATGCAACGTCTGTTAGGATTCATCTGTTGAATATATCCAAAGTGGTGAAGGGTATCATATAGTCTGCCCCGTCCGACTTCACTACTTTCCTTACTGTTTTTTTTTTAATTTTTCACACAAAAGTCTGGATTCATTTGACCCGCTAAACATTGACCGATCTTCATCAAAATAGTCATGCTAATGCTATGGTCAGACCCCTTTCTTTTTGTAAAATTTCGTGATATTCGGGTCATAGAGCGAAAAGACAAAAATAATTTTTTTGATCCATTTCATCCCTTAAATATTAACTGATCATAACCAAAAACTATAGAGGTCTTCATTGCCCAGAACCCATCCTATACACACATGGACACACATGTATAGATCGACTCAGCTAGTCGAGATATGATGATCAGTATACATAAAATTGGGTCTACGACCAATATTTCACAGTGCTACAACATTTTGGGGCCACACAAAGCTATAATACCCTTGCAACATAGTTGCGTAGGGTATAATGATCGGCTTTGTAGTTAGCAACTGACCTAACCAACATTTATCAATATTGGTCAAGGCGTCCATAAAACGATACATCCAAATAGATGCTCAAAAATTGCCCCCAATTTCGAATTTGTGATATCCATTTACCGCGCTTTTCCTTACATTTGATATTTAGATACACTTTCCAACATTCGTTGAATTATCTTTCCGTGTTTCTGCTATCAAATCTATTTAGAATGGATAGTTTTACGATACTTTAAAGACGTAGGTAAATGCTTGGGTAAATTCCCGAGTTTTTACCCAAAATATGGGTATAAACTCATTAACCAAACCACTTCACATAGGCGACCAAAATTTTGCATAAAATCATGCCAAAGCAAATATATAAATCCAAAATGGTGTCCCTGGGTATAGCCCCCATATAACCGTATCTCCCGATTTAAGGTATTTTTTATCTATTAGACACATTTTACAACCAAATTGGCTGTAATTTGGCACAGAGTGTTATTTTTGCAAATTTTTATGTATGTAGGTCCACGTTTACTGGTAGCACCCATACAAAGGTACCCCTATTTTGGGTATTTACCCAAAATATGGGTATAAACTCATTAACTACCGAACCACTTGACATAGGCGGCCAAAATTTGTCTCTGATGGTTTTTATATCAATACAAATAACGGTATGGTAAATGGTGTTTCTGGGTCCAAGTTTTGATATAACCCCCATATAACCGTATCTCCCGATTTAAGGTATTTTTTGTCTATTAGACACATTTTACAACCAAATTGGCTGTAATTTGGTTCTGTTCTTTTTGGGTACCAAATGTCCATGCAAAAATTTATGTATGTAGGTCCACGTTTACTGGTAGCCCCCATACAAAGGTACCCCTATTTTGAGTATTTACCCAAAAATTGGGTATAAACTCCTTAACTGCCGAACCACTTGACATAAGCGACCAAAATTGTGCATACTTGTTTTTAATGTCAAAGCAAATATAGAAATTCAAAATGGGGTCCCTGGCTCCAAGGTTTGATATTTACCCACGTCTTAATAGTATCGTAATACTATCCATACTAAATCGATTTGATAGCAAAAACCCGGAAATAGGGTGTAAGGTATTGTATTACCTATTCAATATAGTAAATACCCAAATAAATGCCCACAAATGGGTATTTACCCAATTTACCGGGTATTTATCCTTTGGGTATTTACCCACTGCCCATCTCTAATTATTAAGATTGAAATTAATTATTTAGATTTACCAGAGGGTTGATTATTTAAACGAGTCATCCTACATTAGTTCATATAACAGTAGAACTTCAACTGGCATATGTCCAATCTTTTATATTATCTCCCTCCGAACCTTACGTCATTTGTATTTATTATTGCATATCAATGTTCATTTTATTTACTTCTTATTATCATCACATCCTAGCGCTTTTCACTTTACTACTTACCTCTTTTGCCGGCATGGAAGCTGTCAAACGGTGATATACGTTCGATTTGTGCCACTAACTTGGACCGGGGCAAAATCAAACGGTCTGCATTGATGCGATCCACAGCTTGGCGAAATGCCAGTTCCTGATTGTCATCGGAAGGATGAAATAAACCACCTTAAACGGAACGTAAAACAATGTTAAAAGAAAAGAAAACAAATTATTTGTGTGCAAATGTAAACAAAAAACTTGAAGGACATTTTACAATTATGAAAATGTAAACAGAGAACGTATCTTGAGTTAACGTAGAAAACAACACTTCATCTCCAGCACAAAGGAGTAAAACAAATCGACTCGAACAAACAAAGTAATGGAGATGAAATAAAACAAAAAACACAACAACTTGCAGGTTTCCTTGCGACAAAATACGATTTGTTTACAACGGCCCGTTTGTTGTTATCCTTATTTTCGCCCTCGTATCGGGAGGATTTTAGTACTCCCCACAAAAAACGTAAACAAAGCTGTAGCACATTTACATCACTCTCACGCAAACAAACACACATTAACGTACTCTCGCACACACATTGTTTGGTGTAGTAACAACATCGCCAACACCACACACACACCAGCACCACCACCAATCACTCAAGAGAGTAGATAAACTGCACAAAAATTCTTTAAGCAGATACATCCTAACGTTTTGTGAATTGACGGACGGACGGACGGACAAATGGAGGAAATGTCACCGAAAATTTTTTTAGTTGAGCCTTACCAATTTTTATAACATCCGGTAATGACGTAGAATAGGAAATTAAACCGATTAAAATCACACCCGTAACACAGATTACGGAATTCATTGTCGCAGCGAACATTTCACACAACTATTTTTCACGATTTTCGATGGGATTTGAGTTAGAAATTTATTTAATTTTTGTTGCTTCGATTTTTGCAGAAGATATGAAAATCTTCAGCCTGTCTTTATGAATTGTGCATTATTCCGTATTTGCGATTTGTTGCGATACCTCCGAAAGCTGTTGATGTACTAAAGCTGAGCGGCTCAGAGCTGCAGCTATTATCAATGCGGGTACATTTGTTATTGTTATTCAGCATCACCGTTTAATAATAATCAGTATTTTCAAAGATTTGACAGATGTTGAATGACCTGCGCATTGAGGATGCTGTTGAGTGACACACAATAAAAGCTTCAATGATTTGTGGGTTATAGAATTCGGTTTAAGGGATGTTATTAAGGTTGGTGTCTGAAGTTAAAAGTTTTGCAAATTGTAGGCCCATGTTTTGACATAGCCACCTATAAAGGTCCAGCTCCATTTTTGATACTTTGCAGCATTATCGAACCGAATTCGATGTAAATTGATATTGAGGGTTCCACATTTTGGTATAGCCTCATATTGCAATACCGGCATAAAAAATCGCAATTTATGAAATAATGTTATTTAGTAAAAAATCAGATGAATATATCTTACACACTCTTCCTAGTAAAGTGTGACCAAATTGAAAATTTAAAGTTCATTTATTTATTCCGGTCTTGTTGCAAATGAGCCATATAAGGTTCGGCCCCATTTTCGGTATTTTCAAGGTTTATGCCGTATTTTCTAATCGAAATGACTGTAATATGGCTTTCCGTGTTCTTGGGTGATGGCAAACATCTTCGCTAATTTTTTCCAAGATGGGTTCATGTTTTGACATGCCTCCAAATAAGGTCGGATCCATTTGAGGTATTTCGAATGTCTTATGATCATTTTTCCAACCCAGGTGGCTCAAATTTGGCAATTTTGGATTTTGGTGGTTAAAAATAAATTTTCGACAAACATTTGTCAATGTGGGTCTATTTGAGGACATAGCTCCCATTTAAATATACCTCACCATTATAGGTATATTCAAGATTTTAGGATAATGAAAAACATATTCGCCTAAAAAAATTGTAAATGTAGGTCCATATTTTTACATAGCTTCAATATAAAGTATTTTAAAGGCATTATGCTCAATTTCAAAACGAAGAACTTTGGGTCAGAGATCTTAATTGTCGACCTTAATTAGAGCAGTAGGTCTATGAAATAAATAAATTTAATTTCTGGATTGCTTTTTACGATTCTGCAAGAAAAAGTACTATCGAACTACTTTACTGGCTTGTTACAGAACGGTTGTTCCATAAGCCAAGCTTAAAAAAGATTTCCAAGCGCGTCGGTCTTCTGCGCACCTCCTCCAATTTGAAAGACCATCTTCCGAGATTTTGTAATCTACTTGGTCTTTCCACCTAATTCGTGGCCTAACCCTTCTGCGTGAACCATCAGTAGGCTCGATTTTATATGCCTTTTGAGCTGGGGCATTTTCATTCATTCGCACATCATGGTCGCCGCAGCTCGATACGACTGACTATGTCGATGTGCGCGTATAGTTTGTAAAGCTCGTGGTTCATTCGACGCTCATATTCACCGTCGACGCAGATCGTCCCGTAGATCTTTCGGAGAATTTTTCTCTTAAAGACCCCAAGAGCTGTCTCATCTGCTTGCGCAAATACCCATGCTTTAGAGGGTCGAATCGAACATCACAATCAATTTTTTATATCCTTCACCACACTGTGGTACAGGGTATTATGTCCTTGTGCATATATTTGTAACAGTCAAAAGGAAACGAGATGGACCCATATATAGAATCACTTTCTGAGTCGATTTATGCATGTCCGTCCGTCTGTTGATGTTAAATTGTAAACATATCATCCGATTTGGATGAAATTTGGAAAGCTCATTTATTTGGCCCATCTAAATCCAAATTATAAAATATTTAGTACCATTTAGTACACATACATACAAATTTTCATTACTACCTACATCATACATTCCAATGGAAGTCTTATTACCCTATGTCAGAGTTCCAGTTCTATCTCCGTTTGGTACCATTTAGTACACATTAGTACGAATTTCCAAAATTTTCTACATAGACCAATCCTACACCCCAACATGATTCTAACATCAAATTTCAAGATTCCAGCTCTATCTGTTCACCCAAATCTAAATTTAGTACCCTTCAGTTCACATGAATATAAATTTCCATAACTACCTACTTTCAACAATCATAAGTCGAATTTCAAAATCACCACAATTTTAAATCCCAATCTCAATATTCCAGCTCTATCGGTTCACCTAAATCCAACTTATATCATATTTAGTACTATTTAGTACACATACGTACATTGCTACCTACATCATGCAATCCAATGGAAATTTTATTACCCAATGCCAGGACTTTAGATATATCTCCATTTGGTACCATTTAGTTTAGTACCAAATTTCAAAATTCCAGCTCTATCGGTTCACATAAATCCAAATTTGGTACCATTTAGTACACATTAGTATGAATTTCAAAAACATTTTGTACATACCTATACCCCAACTATTATCCTAAATCCAAATTTAAGTTTTATCAGTTCTCCCAAAATTCTAATTATACCAAATTACACTCCAACACTTGCCTTATTTCCAAATGTCAGTATTCCAGCTCTATCGGTTAACCCAAATCTACGTTTGGTATCATTTAGTACATATTAGTATTAATTTCCAAAACTTTCTACATATTCCAATCCTACACCCCAACAGTAACCCTAACTCCAAATTTCAGGATTCCAGCTCTAGTGTTTCACCCATAATTTTAAATTGTACAAAGTTTAGTACAAATTACTACGAATGTCCAAAACTTTATACAAAGTCCAATCATACACCCCCACCGTGTTAACATCAAATTTCATGATCTCAGCTTCATTCGTGTCTCCAAATTCAAATTATACGAAATTTAGTACTGCTTAGTACTTTTAGGTATACATAAGTACACGCTTTACTATTTTTTGGATATTTGTAGTTCGAATGTCAATAACCTTCAATCGAAATTTCAGAGTTCTGGCTACACCGGTTCGCCAATTACAAATGGTACCGTATTTAGTACATTTTAGTACAGATTCATGTATTGGCATGAACTCTGTGTAATTCCTATATTTTGAAGAATATGGAACTTTTTTCTAAAAAAGGGTCAATGAGTCCATATTTGGACTTTGGCAGGTATTAAATCTGTAAATTCCAATTCCAGCAGATATTCAATGATGGCTTGGATTTTGAATATCCGAATATTTGTATAGACATTGTCTATACATTGTCGAACTTAGTTATTATATAGAAATGAACAATCACTTACTTGACGTTGAGGGGAATCTAAAATGCACAAAATGTCCACTACTATAAAAAATATGAAATTTCACGATTCCATCTATTTTAAAGATTTCATCGTGGTAGAGGGTGTATCAAAGAGGTAGAAGATCATGTCGCGTGTACTTAACATAAACTGGCTTATCTATCCAATATAAATAAAACACCACATACATTATTTTATTAACTTTTTTAATGCGTCATTTGTGTGGATCGTGGTCAGATTTTATTTTAATTTTTTTTTTTCTAAAACGACAAAATGCCACTTCAGACCTTATCAGCACACACACAATGTCGATTTTTTATTCCTGTGTTTTTTTTATTTTCAAAAAACAAAACAAAATTGTATTCGTTATTCTGTTGATGTGAGCCTTTTTTTGTGGTCCGCAAATGATAATCGCCAATAAAGATGTCATATGTCAAAATTTTAAAAACATATTAATTACAACAAACAAACAACACATTGATGATCTTCGAACCAGCTGGCATATACATTTGAAATTCATAGTTGCCTGTATAATCACTAAAATGTTTAACCTATGATTACAGGGATCGTCATCGAATCGGGGGCAAAAGAAACTATAAAAATGACCAATAATTTGATTACAATTATAATTGCCCCACGGAGGACATAATTAGTCAAATCTATTAATTTCTTAGAGATATAAGTATTGCTATAATTATATGGTATAATTAAAAACTGCGCTAAAGACCGATGCGCCTGGAAATATTTTTTAAGCTCGGCTTATGGAACGAAAGTTCTGCCACAAGCCAGCTAAGTAAGTATAATTGTATGTGCTATATAACCTACTCTTCGATGGACTTATATAGTCAATAGTTGCCCTAAGTCTATATTTTATGAAGTCTATCAAAGATTTTATCATTTCTTCGAATGTACTAGAAGAAATGACCCTATAGACCCACCCAATCTTCGGATTTAATGCAGGTTTAATAAAAAATATTACAATGCGCATTCCATGTATTAAAGCCCATACTTCATTGGTTTTAAACGTGTGGGAAATACCAGAAGGTATTAAAATGTCCAATCAATGGATCAAATCGTACGTTCCATTCCCTTGATATTTGATTTACGATGATGGACCTTATAGATCTCATCTTTGAATTTACTGTTGATTTAGTAAATTTAAATTTTCATTGTAAAATCTTGCACTTAATTCAAGTCGGCTTATCACTAGACATTTATATAAAAAAACCAGTGAGCGGAGCAGTATAGTCGGACGGGGCCGACCATACGATACCCTACACAACTTCCATGATAATCTAACTTTCTGTGGTTCTATATTCTGAGATTGGGCAATATTTCGCGATATTTGCACACTTTTGACTGGCTAGAGGTCAACAAATGTTACTAATAATCAGTACAGCCCCTCTTAATATTTGTCCAGGTTCTCTTTACCGTGGGTTATGTTGTGATGTTCGGCTTTCGACTCGAAAAGTACAAATAATTAAGTTTTCGGTCCACTTCATCCAAAAAATTATTATCTGATCATCACCTAACATTTTAGGCGTTGTCCTTGACCATCACTGGAACCTCATGGAACATTTCAAAGCGATCAGCGCTATATATCCGCCCTCCAGTGTGGTAATAGGTTACTAAATAATATATGAATACGTAAGCACCTGTAAATATTTA